TTGTGACTCAGATATATGATGATATATCTGATATCGAAGAAAGAAAACTGAGCGAAGTAATTTAATTTATTAATTATTATTTTTTATCAGGATGATTGGACTACTTTAATCAGGCTTGTTAATCAATCCTTTTCAAAAGATCGAATCCCGATCACGATCTTTTGAAAAAAATAGGATCGAAATCCAGAATAGACCTTTTTTAAAAAAAGGATCGCAATCACTATCCTTTTCTTATTTAAATTTCTGTTCGATGCAAAATTAACTAATAAAAATTAATTAAAATGGTATAAATTTATTGTAATTGAATAATAGAATATAAGTATAACAATTAGAATATATATATTTATAATTAAAATTAAAATTAGCCTTTAATAATAAAATTTTTTCTAAATTATTATTATTTAAACAACCACGTTTTTCATTAAGTATATGTTTAGCTTTATTAAACAAGCGCTCCATAGGAGTGCTTGATGGTAAAGATGTGTTATATTTAATAAATGTTTATTTAAAATTAACATAATTATTAAAAATATTCACAGAATCATCATTAGAATAAAAAAAAATATTTTTGGAAAAAGCATTTTGTGACGAATTTTTCCCCAAAAAGGTATTGATTTCATCCATCATTCATTTGAAGGATCTGCATGTGGTTGATCCTGTAAAATGGGCAATTTACCTTTCTTTTAGCAACAAATTTTGTGGCAGATTAATAAAAGGCCAATTGAGCTTAAACTTTGGGTGAATTATTGATGCCAATATATTACTGTCATCATATAGTGAAGGAAATCTATATTAATAAATGATAATTAATTTATTATTAAATATGTGTTCATTCATATAAATCAGGTATCTGCAAAAGTTAGCCTTTTCAAATTTTAGAGTCAGGCCTGACCAATCATCTGTATAATATTGATTAAATTTAATAATTTTTAATGCCTATGATGGCCCATTAAAATTTTACCAGATATCATAGGCTTAGTAGACCAGGCCTGTTAAAAATATTTTACTAAATTTGCCAGATCATGGCAATTTTTTAATAAATTTTGCAGATATCTGATATCTATTAATATAAAAAAATTGCATAAAAAATTATTACCTTTTATCAATTCCTCTAAGAACACACTCTACGGCTGACAATATCGCAGGCAACTCATATTTTGTGGGCCTTTGGCCAACTTTGGCTTTTTGATTTCGAATATAAAAAATTTTTGCAAGTAATTACAAGAGTGATAAAAAATATCCTTTTTTCCTTCATTATCCAATATACCTTTATATGGATTGTTTTAACGACAATCAGGCTTGCCATAGCATCCAAATCAGATTCATTTCCTATATTCATTATCTTTAATTACATAAGAAAATTTAATACCATCGGAGATAACCTCAGATTAAGCATTACATATAGCTTCTATCGATTTAATAATAAAATATCTTATATATAAATATATTTGCTTATTTTCTTTCTCTTAACATTTTTGTTTTCAATAATTAAATCTCTCATAACTACAATTAATCTTCTTTTATCTTATAATATCTAGAACAATAGTCACAGACCTGAACAAGCAAACGTGAATCATTGAGGCCCAATCTTTATATATTGTTGCCGATTTTCAAGGATACCAAAAACCTTGTTACCACAGATGTATAGTTTAAAAAAAGAAGAATGGAACTACACCCTACCAAATTGAAATATTAGAGTGAGGTAGAGTTATGAATGAGAGGGAGAAAAACAAGGCGAGAAGCTATTTCTTTAAATAGCTATTTATTTTTAATCTATTAAATTATTTTACATTAAGGTATTATTAGTATTTATAATCAGTAAAAGACATATAGTATTAATATTTCCATTATTATGATCAAATTATTTATAAAGGTTTATAAATTTCTCTTAATCTATTTCTGAATAATAATAAAATTTATTTCCTTAAGCTACTTAATTTCGGCCTATAAAATTTACTGGTTATAAATTTAATCCTTTTACTACGTACGAATTGATTATAAAACAGATAAATATCGTTTACCATGAAACTAAGAGCCAAAGAGTATTTGAAATCCTTTCATAAAATAAATAGATAATTACCTCTCGCCTCAGCAGTCGTTCGTTTGATGATCATAAATTAGTCTTAGAATATTTTTAAAAGTATGACTAACAGCAGAAACCAGCTTAATAAATTCCTATGAGAGGCCTATCTCCGCTATTGATCTAGATAACCTGCCAAACCAGCTATTTTTATATATTGTAAATGATTTAAGGAATAACTCTACAGGGAATACTTAAGCGAATGGTGATATAAAATTGTTTGGGGTTTGTCCAAAAATGTGACATACTAGTTCTATTTTCCTAGATTCTAACATCCTCTATAATGGGAGGGTGTCACATCTGGCCCATAGGCTATTGTTGTATTCGGAGGGAAGTAAGTTTTGGTAATGCATCTTAAACAATTGTTTATAAAGGTTTGCCTCTTTTGTTTGACTTTGTATCTTTATGTTTCAATGCCATTAAAGTTGAACCTTTAGCTGATTAGATAATTGATTAGATGACCATATCTTCATACCTATATTTGGCTCTGGCTTTGTTTAATTTGACCGCGAAATCTTGTCTGGTCTTTCTTTGTAAGATATTTTAGGTATTATACTACAATCATCCCTTCATGTATTTTTATATTCAAGTGATGGAGTGAAGAATGAGGCTATCATCTTCGTTTTGTCAATATTTATTTCTAAACCAAAAACTCAGCTTCTACGATAATATTGTCCACTAGGAATTGAAGATCTGGTATTGATTCCCCGATCAGACAAAGGTTATCAGTAAACACAAGAATATTTAAATTACCAATGATATAGCATTCCGAGCATAATATTTTAACCTTTTTTATATTGCGATTTGTAATAAAATTAAATGGCATTGGAGATAAAACGCTCCCTGTTTCAGCCCAATTTTTACAGGGATTTTGGAGATTTTCGCACTACTATGAATAACTGGACCGAGTAGTTATTAGAAATACTTTTTATATTTTTGACAATAGGTAGGTATACCTATCTCCTCCAAAGCCCTCCATAAACTAAGATAAATAATGGAATTGAATATTCTTAAAATCTAGTGCGACGAGTAACAATTGGCTTTTTAGTATTACTGCTCTCTCAATTTGGTTTTTTGCAAGCTAGTTAGTTATGACCCTTTCTGAATGAAACCAATGAGCCAGTATAGTCAGGTTCTACAAAAGGCCGAAGACTGTTTAGAATGATATTTGCGAATATCTTACAAGCCACCGAATTCAGAGGCGTCGGTAGCCTTTACAATCTCAGGGGACACAACCAAAAACTAAATTGATAGCGGGCTTCGCCCCCCATGCCATTCAATTTGCGGGCCTTCGGCCAGGTTTTTTATTAATATATTATACTTTATAAAATTTGTTTACTCTGAACAATTATTCTGATTTTCATATTTTGTCATTTATTATATTATGCATACAAAAAAACTGGCATATAAATACTTAAAACAATACAAGACATTTCTAAAAATAATATTTTTTAATATAAAATTTATTTATTACATTATAAAATATTTTTGATTGCTGAAGTGATAAAAAAGATTTATTAATTCATACCTATGCCTCAATTGATAATAGTTTTTAAAAGCCACATAATGCAATAATATAATTCTTAGAAACTTACATTGACAAAAGGTTATCAAACTAATATAACTATCTATTACCATTTTAGACAATGTTTTATAGAATTAACTAATGAGGAAAATTTTATAGGCCTAAACCAAATCAATAATTCTTGAAGAAGAAAGTATAAACGACCAATCCAAATCATAAAACTATATGGTGGTTAGAGCTTCCTTTTAGTTGTCATGATGGATAGATAAGTAATCGAGAAAATTATTGTGAGATATTAAATTTCTAAAAGATTATCTTCCTTTTTAAATGATATATAAACGACTACACATTGACCATTATTGTTTATCTAAAATATGCTATCATATGCTCTCAGCAGCTGTAGCAATAATCTTAAATTACATAGCAAAGCAAATAATAGATGCTGGTTAATTTGCAGTAATAGCCATGACACTCACGATGTAAACTAATATCAGAATTTTTTATGTTGGATAAATTGATAAAATAAAAACACTTAGAAATGAAATATTTTTTAACTATAGGCCAGAATGATATGATGAAACAATTAAGATTTTATATATTGTCGCACCACCTCTAATGTCATTGCCTCTAGTTGGTATATTATATCTTAAAATAATAGTAGTTTGTAATAATATCAAAAATATATTTGTATTAAAAATTTACTTAAAACTGTTTCTCGAAAAAGAAAAAAATAGCTTTCCTAAAAACAAGTAAAAAAAGAGAAGAAAATATATCAAATTTATTACATCTATTGTAGGATTAATAATAAAATGTTTAATTTTTAAAATTATTTATAACTAAATAGATGGCGTTAAATACTTAAATGCGAATTGTTACTATATTTTTTATCAAAAGCATTTATTAGTAAAAATCATTATAATATTAACTGTAATATATTATATAACTGACAAATACGTCTATAAAATTGACATTTTATCTAATATTTTATAAATAACGTATATAATAGAGGAGTATAAACTATATGTCTTATTACTTTTTTATAAAGAAATCTCTTATACTTATTTGGACCTTGAAAATATTTTTAGAGGTATGATAATAAAATTTTAAAATAAATATACAGTTGATCAGTCATTTTGAACTCGGCTAATTACAATAGTAAATTTCATAGTTTTCAATTAATAAATGATTATATTTATTTAATTAGAGTTATATAACTATTTAAATAATAATAGTCAATTAAGCTTCAACTGTTAATGCTAAATTAATATTTAGTGAGTTATATTGATATTCTATTTTTAACACAAAATTTGATTGCAAGCTGACAAAGTGAAATGTATTAATATAATCTAATATGTAAAATGGTATTCATTTAATAAATATTTAGACAGTCTTATTAATTTTTAAATAATAAAATTAAATCTATATATAACTCAATAGAATTATAAAAGAAATCGTTCAGGGGGCAATAAAAATTTATTTTTTGTTCAAGGGGTTAAGATTCCATTTAAAAAAAAAAATTTTGCTTCAGGGGGCTATTCAAATTTTTCAGGGGGCTCGAGCCGATGCGCCTCCCTTCTTAGTGACTCTACTGACCGAATTTAATGAGATTCCTCTCCAGTTTTCATATTTGGGGTTCTTTGTTTTTGGGAAGTAGAATAGCCGTAAGTCAATCTATTCTTGCCACTCTCTGGTCATAATTGGGAAGAGGATCTCTGCACACAACGTTGAATCAGCCTTCAGGAACTCACTATGTATAGTATTTTGGTTACAAGACTTGTGGCCTTTTAACTTTTTATTATATAGTTAGGTCACTTTCATATGATTTTTTTTAATATAAATTATTTTTTTTCACATCACGATTATTTTGGTTCATTGATATTTATTTTATACTTATATGCAATTAAACTAATTCAATCATTTAAACAATATTAAATCAAGTGAGTTAACACAAAATGAAGTAATTTATTTCTATTTTTATAGGAACTAATAAAACTCGAAAATCTAATTAAAAAAATATATATTGTTGTCCAAAATAAAATGCAGGATGAGATAGTTCTAAGAACGTCCAATTAAGTTCAAAAAACGTGTTAATATATTCCATCAGTGTAAAGTAGGCCTATTCAAAAATAAATCGAATAACTACGAATACGAATAATAAATTATTTGTTTTATCTGAATACGAATAATCATTTATTCGATTCGAATAAAACGAATTATTCGAATAAAATGAATTATTCGTAATATTTAATAAATTGTTTAACAAATCTAACATTTGTCATTTCTATTTGTTGACCTGCCAATCCTGAAAAATGATGTGTTTGTGTTTATAAAAATTCTAGCACAAATTTAAAAATTTCTGAAGTGAAAATTTAAATTTTTATTTGCCACATTTTTGACTCATAATAAATTATATTAAAAATTACATAAACCAGAGGTATATAAAAATATATTACATCTCTACAATAATTATTGTTAGCTAGCCTAATTATGTTGGAGAATGCTTCTGATGAAATTATGATTGATCTTAAAGATGAGAAAATTTCCTCACAAAAGAGAGCAATCATATGGGATCAATATCAAATCCTTAAAGACGGTGAAAAGGCTGCTTGCAATCATTGCAAGAGTATTATAAAATGTAAAGGCAAAACAACATCTCCTCTTATTAATCATTATATTAGGTTTCATTCACACCTCAGTAAAAAAAAATAATAAAATTGACATTTTTTTAAAGTCTACACCAAATTCTTCAAAAATATTAATTTTAAGGATAATTTATTAAAATTATTTATAAATAATATTATACCTTTTAAAATTATTGATTCAAATGATTTTAAAAATTTTATAAGTGATCTTGATTGTTCTGTAAAATCAATATGCTCCAATACTCTTATACTGCACATGTATAATACATTTGCAGAAAAAGAACAGTTGGTAAAGGAAATAATATCTAAAAATAAATGTCAGATTAATTTTTCATCTGACATTTGGACTAGCCCAACACAGGTTCCTTTTTTAGGGCTAACAGCCCATTTTATTGATGATAATTTTAAAATAAATAACATAATTTTGGATGTCAGTCCAATAAATGAAACACATTTAGGTGAAAATATATTTAAAGCCTTTGTTAAAATAATTAAAAATTATAATTTAGAGAATAAAATTTTTTATATAACTTTAGATAATGCAACTAATAATAAAACATTTATTGATACATTTTCTTTAAAATATCCATTAATAAAAATAGTGCACATCCGATGCTTTGCCCATGTAATTAATTTAATATCCAAAGAAATTTTAAAAATTTTAGACCATTCAATCCTAAAACTAAGAAACATTATTAGAATGATTCGTAATTCCCCTAAAAAATTAAATTTATTAAAAAATATATGTAGTTCCCTACACCCTCCCCTAAATTTTTTAAAACCAAAATTGGATTGTGAAATAAGGTGGAATAGCACCTACCAAATGATTGAAAGGGGCTTATTGTTAAAGCCTGCAATAACAAAATTAGTTAATGAAGTAATACTAATATTAAAATTATTCAAGAAAAACAAATATCAGAGGTAAACTAAAATTTATAATTAGGTAATAATATAATACTTTGATAGCATATAGGAAGAATGGGAGGATCTTATAAAAATTAAAGCTATCCTATTGCCTTTATATGAAACTACAAATATGGTATGTGGGGAGAATTATCCTACCTATAATTTAGTTATACCTTATTATATTTTAATTCTTGAACATCTAAAAAATGAAAAACCTGGTTTCTATAAAACCTTTAACAATAGTTTCAAAGTACCATGTGATAAATTGTTGGGCTATTATAATTTAACTGCCGATGATGCAGTAATAACCACAATATTAGATCTCAGGCTTAAAGTAAAATATTTTAAATCAATATCTGTTGATTATGATATTGATATATCCAAGTTAATGGACAAATTTAAAGAGATTTACAATAGATATACAGGTATTTAATTTACCCCCATTTAAATATGATTTTATTTTATAAGCTCATAATTATAACTGTCAAACAAATAGGATAAAATTCAACAAAACAGGCTAGACATTGTTTTTAAACAAAATAATATTCAACTGTGTGAAATAGAATTTTATCTGAGTGAACCAAGAGCAAAGAGTGATCTTGACCCGTTAATGTGGTGGAAGGCAAATGCATATCGGATCCCCATACTCTCGAAAATGGCAAGTGATTATCTATCTATACAAGGAACATCAACTGCTTGTGAAAGGCTTTTCTCAGTTGGAACTAATTTATTGTCAAAAAACCGCATGTCATATAAGGAAGAAAATATAAGAAAAACTCTTTGCCTTAAAAATTGGCTTAAAGATTACACATTATTATAATTCTTTTCTGTTTAAAATCAAATTTGTAATAAAAAAATTTGTCAATATATTTGAGTATGATTTATTTTATTAAAAAAATATTCGAATCGAATACAAATAGTAGATTTTATTATTCGTACGAATTCAAATATAAACGAATCAAATATGAATAATGCACTATTCGATTCGAATTCGTTTTTGAATAGGCCTAGTGTAAAGTAACCTATTACACGGACTGATTTTCATTATTTCTTTTATAGATTATAATATTATCTATTAACCTAATAGTTCCTTTTATTATATAGTTAATACTTTAGTCGATTAACTTAAATATAACTTTGATAAATGATTGTTATTATTATTTTATATTAACCGATTACATTGGAATAGCCAGGGGGGGGGGCAATTCGAAATCCCCACCCCTCCCTTCAGAAATTTATCACTTTTATGAATATCATTTTAAGCTAATAAAAATATCCTCCTTACTCCTCTCCCCACCTCATGTCCCCCAAAAATGTATGCGTAAAAGTTAATATTTTTTTAAACTAAATCTATTAATTATAATTCAAAATTTTTTGGGAAAAAGCAATTTATATATATAAAAAGTGAAACCAAAAATGTTTTTTAGGAAATGTATAAGCAAAGATAAGTCTTAAGACAATAGTGAAATGTGTTATAATTACTATTAATAGATCCATAAAATTACTAAATAATATAATATCTCAAATATAATTTTTTACAAAGTGAGTAACTTTAACTTATTTTTCTTAATGAAATATAATTATAAAATTATTGATAAAATAAAATATAATTATAAAATTATTGACAAAATTAAATATAATTATAAAATTATTGATAAAATTAAATATCAATTTTCCGATGTCCTCACTACGTCATCGTGACGTCATGTCATCGCTACGTCATGTCATCGTTACGTCATGTCACATGTACGTATTTATTTATTTATTTTTTATTTGTTGATTTTATTTATTTATTTTATACAAGCAGATGATCCTATAACTTAAATTTTCTATGCAACTGTAGGAGGCCATATTAAAACCAAAAAGTAGTACATTATTTACTATTGTTGATTTTATTTATTTATTTTATGCAAACAGATGATCCTATAACTTAAATTTTCTATGCAACTGTAGGAGTCCATATTAAAACCAAAAAGTAATACATTATTTACTATTGTTAATTTTATTTATTTATTTTATACAAACAGATGATCCTATAACTTAAATTTTAACTGATTTAATTCAATAAATTTAATATCTCTAGGTTTGGGAAAATTTTTTCAAAATTATTATGGGTTGGACTGGGCTTAAAAAATATTTCTCAAAATTAATATTGGCTTGGTTTTCAAAAATTATTAGGGATTGAAATGGGCTTGAGAAAATCTTTTTAAATTATTAAGATCTTGGATGCTTGGAAATTTTTTCCAAATATTGTAGGCTTGAACCTATATTGGGATTTTTTAATGTTAAATGTTAGTCTTATGTAAATATTTTTATAAAATATATATAACTCAAAGAATAGTTTTCAGTAACATACAAAATGTAGACTAATTATGCTATGCCGACAACATATGTATCCCTACTAAAGATATCACTAACATTCATTATTTTAACAACAGTCTCAAATAATATGGGTAAAATCAAAATTTAAAAAATACTAAAATTCTCTTCCTTTCTTTCCCTTTTAATTTCTTTTATTATCTTCCCCTTTCTCATCATTTCCCTTTCCTATCTTCACTTTTTAATTTTCTTTTTCTTTACCTTCCTTTCCCTTTTAATTTCCCTATTTTCTTTCCATTTAATTTTCTCTTATTTCCCTACCTCAGGCTACACAATCCAGCCGAAAGCTGGGCTTATCAAAATAAATATCATTCAATTCTTAATTCAACTCATATTCAAGCATAAAAATTTAACTATCTCCGAGGCGGGAAAAAATTTTCAAAATTATAATGGGTAGAACTGGGCTTGGAACCTCAAAATTAATATTAGCATGCACCTGAAACGAATATCGGTTCAGGTTCGGATAAAAATAACGGTTCAAGGTTCGGATCGTAAAAAATTAAAATATCGGTTCGGTTAGAATCTCTAAAAACCGGTTTGAACACTTTTGTATTCAGACCTACATTCGAATTATGTATAGGGAAAATATTTTTTTTATTTTATCACAATATTTTACTTTTTTTTACTTAAATTTTTTTTATTAAGCCGGACAATTAGTATATTTTCAAAATTCGTCTCACTCAAATTACATCCATAAGGAGAGTGTATAAATTTAATTGTTAAAAAACATCTTTCCACACTAACTTGGATAGCCGACACTGCCAATATGATATCAGATTTGATGTGTCATTTATAATAATATTTTGGATTATAATAAATTTTATGGCGCTATTGCTAAAAATATTATATTAAATGTTCAAA